GGAGGCGGGAGCCATTAAGTAATAAGAAGAAGAAGAAGAAGATGAGCATACCCTTGTATTTTTATCATGAACTAGGCCAGCCCCCTGACATTTTATTCATTTCTTGAATTTGGCCAGTCACCGAATCACCAGATGGCAATGACAACTTAATATTACGACTCATGCGCATTCTGTATGTTTACGTCATTTACTTCGATTAGGTTATGTCGGTGATGTCGGTTTTGTTATCCTGTTTATTCACGATCTTCGCTTTCCGAAAGTCCGCGATCCTGTGTGTTGCGAATAACTAGTCGTTACCGTTGTTACAAGTGTTAAACGACGTATGCATACATATATATATATATTTAGCACGCTGAATGTTCCCAGCGCCACGGTGACATTCAGTAGCCATCGGAACTATGAGTGTCAGGAAGCTAAATTAGGCTAGAGGCCTAGATACCAGAGATGCGACATTGCGTCAGTTAGGTCGAAATAAATTTTTTGGTGAGCTGCTTTATTTTTAATAAAATAGCTTAAAAGGTACCTTCACTGATGTAAAAACCTCTTAAAAGGTGATTGTCTAAAAAAATTGCTATGTTTATTAATGAATTGATGAGATACTTCGCCCTCTTTTGCGTAACAGTTTAAACTTTCATTTAAAGAGGAATTGAAATCGCCATTCAACTTAATTACATCATTTTTATTTTTACAAATAAACAGTAACGGTTTTTGTACATTATTTTGTGAAATTCTAATAAAAATATTTCCATAAAAGAAAAATCGTGTAGTCCTCAGGACATAAAGGCTAGAGCACAGATTTTGCATAACACATAATGCATAAAGCATGAAGAAATCAATCAAAGTTTTTTAAAAGTTCCAAAAAAGACTCGCATCTGAAATAATTTACATCAAGAAACAAATTAATGGATTAAATAAACAAAATGAAACAGAGATTATCAGAATCTTATTTTTTGTTACTAAACATAACTTCTACAAAGTTTTTTATTACATGGAAAGAAAGGAAATAAAGAATTTTTAGCATTTTCGATTCTAGCTGGTTTGTACGAAGAGGTAACCATTAGCTGAGATATTGACATATATGATTTTATTTGATTTCATACGATTTCGTCTGTATTGTCATCTTTCATATGTAATTATCGGATTATACAGAAAGATTTCTATAAACTTTATAACGATTTCGAGGACATTGTCCCACGATTACATTAAGTGATTACCCCCTTGGGTTTGCACCTGGATTGCTCTATTATTGGTTGACGTTATGTATTCTATCAATAGTAGAGCGTACAGTATCATTAATCCAACTCAGGTTGGTACAAACCGGCTACAGTCGAAAACACTTCGATTAGTTCATTTTCTTATGTATTATATGTTATATGTTATGCAAGACTGTACTCTCGCCCTAATACAACAATTCTTGTTATGCGTAATTAATTTGTAATTCGTAACTTACTAGCAATTGATTTAATAGAACACAATTTTCTTAGAACTAAATAATTATTTATATAGTAATAATAATAATTATTATTCTCATACAATATTTATATCTTATAGCTCAATTAACATAGTCTTTGCTCCTTTCGGTTGAAGGAACGATATATTACATTTACTGCGGCTCTCATCCCTTTTCCTCTGTTACACTACTTAAATATATTATACTTGGCATATAAAAATTACAAGGATAACTTTATAATGATAGTGGATACTGGTAACTTGCTATGTATTATAGTAATAATTAGATAACGGTAGTTCTAGTAATAATAATTGCATATATAAGTAATAGTAGAAGTTATAGTAATAGTCACTATAGCGGTAATATTACTGACAATCGTTAATCAGATAATTAAGAATTATCGTATGAATTACCGTTTCACGTGTACAAAGCCCAATGTTAAATTCTTCCTTCTTGATTTCTCTGCGATCGAGCATGATACATTTTTTACGAAGATACATATTTATTTGGTCATTTGTATCTTCTTTAAGTTTACTTTTTTCTTTTTAGCAATGAGGTTAACTAATAACAGAAGATTAATTGCTTAATTGCGATGCGCTGATTTTTATAACACTGTTTTGTCTTCAAACAAATATATGACAATAGATTTGACTCGCCCGTCTATCATTTTTTCATACACAAATTTTCTATATTGTCAATATCATAACTAAAAAGTGACCCATTTCCCATGTTTTCTACATTTACCAAAGAAAATATGAAGTAGTATATGAAATCATCTCCAAATTAAAGATCACACGTTATTACACTTCACGCAATGCACTTTTAGTTCTCTTTGAAAATTTATTGTAAATTTTTCATATATATTTCCTTTTATTCACAAACGCATAGTAAGGCTTAGCATACACTATTTCAATAGATTAGAAAAAATAATCGTATTTCATTGTTTACTTATTAATTTATATCAATTATCTATTGAACAAAGTTATTTCATTTATACAAAAGTTATTTATTCAAAATATAGTAAACAAAATAGTAAAAAGTAAATGATAAAGGAGAATTTGCTATTATAAAATTTGAAAAAACTGTTATTATATTAAATGTCTTTCATATTTATTTATAAGATTGGTATAAAATTCTTATTGTTGATTAAGTATTCTTGATTTAAAGTATCGTATGATTTTGTGTATCAATACATTTATAAGGAAAAATAAATCTTTCAACTATTCACAATAAGCTGTTCATTTTATTTAATGTTTAATCAGAATGAGTTTTCATATATACATATATTATATAACATGACTAGTAATATACTACTTCATATTTAGGAAATGTCTCCTTTATGTGAACAATATTTTTTATTTATCTTTTTATTTGTTGTCATAGTTACCTACGAAGCGCAGATAACATTATTATATAACAATTGAATGTCTTTTATTATTTACGTTTAGGCATTTGCTATAGAGAAACATCAAATATGAAACGTAAATCTGTATGATATGACAATATCATTGTCTATTTCTTAATACAGAAAAAAATTTGATACAATATAACATTCTTTTTTTCTCAATAAAAGATAACATTGTTTCATAATCATTGTCCATCGTATTAAATGTTACTTTAACTCATCCTCATGCATTTACTAAAATAAACAGTATCTATACATAATATAATATTTATTTTTTAATCATAATATATATATATTTCGATAATATAAATTCATTTCTTCAGACTAACAGATTTATATTTTCTTTGATAGCTTAAAGTAAGCGCCACTGTGTTCCAATTTTCTCAATTAGTGCGTGATTTGTATTACACTTAATGTCTGATATATATACATATACAGGGTGTCTGGAAATTACCGACAAATGTTTCGTGCATGGGTAGAACAGACTATACTGAGTCAAAAAGTCCTGTACCATTTTGCGGTGTCAGCAATAGTTAACGAGATATTAA